TTCCACTCGAAATGAAAGTAAGCTCAACAATAATGCAACAAGAGATTCGTCGAAACCCAACTTTTCTTCATGTAGAACGACAGCAGACAAGTTGCTTTCTGCTGGGTCGCTTCGACAATTGGATCAAGTTACGAGGGCGAGGTAAGTCTATTGCCATTTTTATCTACAACATCTTAAGTCATTGAGTGTGACGGGGATTATTGTCAAAGATTGGCTAATTCCTACCAAGATTATGCCAACTGAATGTCCATTTCGTCCCGAAAGTCATCTCTGTCGCCAGGACAGAGCAAGTGGGTTTTCGGCCTGTATCATATTCGAGCAATCTTGGATGGGCTAAACGTGTTTTCGCGTAGCTTTCTACGCTCCACAGACTTCGATGCTGCCCTATTTTATACGTCTCATGTCGAGCAGACGTTTTGTGCGTTAGTTTATCCCATCTCATGCCCCCCTGATGTACTTCCTTTTGCGGCAAGTCGCCTGACAACGAAATCGTTTGGGCCAATCTACTTCAAACAATCCTCCATCGAAACCCCTCTCCCGCCGCCCCCAAACACCCCCGAAAAGCACTTCTTCGCTCCGTGATGACTCAACTCGAGTCCTCGGACAAGAGGGTGCATCCGATTGCGTCATTCTGCTCGTCGTCAAGAGTCTGCAGAGCTGAGGTGGAGACGCCAATGCAACCGAACACGCCACCGGCCAGCCTCGTTCATCCTCTCGATTTCATCTGGACGTCGAGTGGTTGTCCCTGTTTTCCGGCTGCCTCCATTACAGAATAAGGCAGAATCTGCATAGGGTCACTAATTTGTAAGTAGTATTTTGCATTCAATCGGAAAGACAGCAAAAAATAGATGCGTAGGTTTAAGCAAAGCAGATACATCTTGGAGTAAATTGCAACTTAACATGGAGCCTGACTAAGCTGGCATGCTTTTTCAGCATGTCACTACTCTGCTCTCTAAAGTAGTGTGGAAGATGGTCAGATTCACTTTTCTACACAAACTATTCACAGCCAAGCCAAGCCAAGCCAATCAAATGGCATCACTTTTAGTGGGTTTTTTGATGAGAAGATAGACGAACTGCTCCTGCATCTGCCATTTGATGTCAGGATTGTGATAAAGCCGCTTCGCCCTCGGTTGATCGGCGTTTCAGCGGCTAGAATGATCCCCTTTTTAGGCGTCATAAGCTACGGTTTGATCAACCCTTTCTTCTTTTCCCACTTCAACAAAGTCGGCTCCCCAGCGTTTGGGTGTCTTTTTCGCGACAAAATCGTCCTCAGCATGAGTACCGCCATTGGCGCGGGCTGGTACAGCCCGGAAAATGTGCAGAAAGGGTGTGGATTTATCAGCACGAAACAAGTCTTTTCTCGCCGGTGTCGTGATGACGGGGACCGGTAGTTGAATTTTCCCACAATCTCATGAGTAAATCTTACATCTTCATTCAATTTCACACAGCCTTGCTTCCCAAAAGGTGTTCTCATCGCATCAGCACGCCCGGCGGGACTCGAACCCAGGTTTACTCACAACACGTTAACCCCTACGCCAGACTGTCACGAGTGCCCCGGGTTACAGAGCAAAAGTGAACTTCAAGGAAGGCCAGGCCTTTTCCCATATCATTATCTGTGGTGGGATCGTCGATGAAGCAATGTTATATTTGCGCTATACTACTTATTTTCCGTTTTTATAAGTAGGCCATTTTGCTAAAAATTCAACTGCCAGTTCTTCATCACTTTAATCAAACTAGGCTAAATACAGCTCTTATATGTCAGATTTAGTGGCAGTCTAGAAAACCAAATGATAAAAAGGGTCAACCCAAGTCTTGTGCCCGCTAGATCGTTGAATATTTTTTTTCTTTAACTGCCTTGTTAGCATCGTGTCTACTAGCGTCAAGGGGCTTCGCACGTATGCACGAAGGAGATAGTGTCTGCTAATCTCAGGTGTTCTCTTCTTGCTGCATTCTTGCTTGGCTTCCATTTTTCACTGAACCATTTTCTCTGTTCACCCTTCTCAGGCTGCCCTGGCAACTTTTCCGCATGATTCTCATTCAATTGAGTCTCTGCTTGTCTATCTCCGCTTACGTTTTCCATTCTCCAGGGGTGTGTCTGTACATCATGTGTGTGTGTGAGTGTGTTTAGTGACTGAAGAGGCCGTATAACAGTCACGTTATCGGCTGCCACTTGATCCGCTTGATCCGCTTAGGTCCTTGAAGCCCCGAAGCGACAGGGTCAAGGGCCGAAGGGGTGCATTGGATTGTCATCACAATCATCATCTTTAGCAGCAGCTCATGTAGACATATCACGTTCTGGATGAAATATTTTTTGGAAAGATACGCCATTCTTCACATGGTTTGACTTGAGGTTCTATACCTCGTGGAATTCAAAGCCTGGACTCGCCAATTCACAAGCAAACGGGTGAGCCCTTGAGTTGGCTGCACCCCTCCAAAACCCGCCACCATGGCTCTAGCCCCTTCAGGACTGTGGATTTAAGGATGGGACGAACACCAACCGTGGACCAACCACCGGTCCAGCTCGGGAGAAAGCAACCATTTTGGGGGCATGGCTCAGCGGTTTCCAATGCACAACATCAAGCCCTGCAGCTCAGAGTCATCTTCGTCATTCCATTTAGCACAAAACAGCACTACAATACTAGTGGAACTCGACACTGACGCCATGACAGAAAACGTCAAAGCCAGAAAGCGTGCTTTGCAAAACAGGACAACAGTAGACTCGATCAAAAGAAAACGTCTGTTTTTTTCATATGGGGACCTTCATTTCGTATGAAAGTGCACGAAGAAGATATTCGTTGGTCCATCTGACCAGATGAGGACAGTTGAATCTCGTTTGGATTTGATACGATATTCATTTTGACGCATTCCACGAGACTTCCTCCCTCGTTTCGGGTGAAAACGTGTAGAGCTTTTGTCCATCATATGATGGAATCAGCAGAGCTGGAACTCATTCTTGTAAAAGGCTTTCCTTAACACTGGGCCAAGAAGACTATCCGGCTTTATCTTACCTCTTATATAGACTCGGCTAAGCCAAAAGAAAATTAAAAATTAAAAAATTAGATGTTTTTTTCATGCTGTATGCGTGTATGCATGTATATATTTGTGTATATATG